AAAAAAAAAAAAAAGTCAGAGTCACTGATGAATCACAGATAGAGATTAGCAGCCTTAAGAGAAGGCTGTATGTGGGGAGAGAAGCACACTGAGAATGTACAGAGAAACATGATGGTGGGAATATTCAACTCTCAGGGTTTTTTTGCTGCTCTGGACACCTGCAGTGAATCTGTTCCATCCTGATGGAGGAGAAGCAGCACTCTGTTCTTCAGAAACATGCTCCAACCTTGTGGTTTCCAAGGATTCACCCTGCAGCAGGGTAATGAACCCAAACACACCTCAAAGCTCTGACTTGAAGACCAAGTAGGACCACAATCGCCCGACTTCAACCTCACTGAACATTTATGGATTCATTCGAGGGCTTGAAAAAGCCAAACATTCCTGACATGAAGAGAAGCTCTTTGTTGCATCATGCTGGGGAAACGTGGCTTATCAGGTGTGAACAAACTTGCGGAGTCAATGCAGCTCAAGTGCTGCTTTCATTAAAGCTACAGGATGCAAACACTGAGATATTTGGACATTTTTCACAGACTTCACTTTTAACAGAGATTGTTAAGCTGATATACTAACTTGTAATGAAACAAAACAAAACATGCAAAATGTAAGTATCTTCACTGGTGTTCTCAGACTTTTAGACCTAAATGTAGCAGCCAATTAACTATCATTCATCATAAGCCAACCGTACAAGACCCACCTACACAGAAGGGCTTCAACAACATAAAAACTTAGAATACAAAAGAGTCTCAAAAACCAGTTCAAGAGTGAGCAAAAATGTCAAAACAGAAATACTGAACATCCAGCTACTGTCCTTCTAATAAACACACACACAGTCTTTTTTTTTTGCATAGCTACCGTTGTTTAATGACATCTGGTTTATAATGTATTCATGAAAGCTGATGCTGATGAAGGTTTTTTTTTTTGGAGCTCATCTGTCAAAAGCTGCTCGCATTCTGACCTTTAAAGCCATTTTTGCTGTTTATGTGTAGGGGTTTGTTTACCAAATCATGAGAAATAACAAGAAAATGCACAGATATCTGTCTAATTAGGTAACACAGACCCTTTGTCTTGACTGTAAGCAGACTGATCAGCACCCAAAGGTCCAGAAAAATAACCTCATGTACTTTAAAAGTAAGGGAAGTAGATCCCAAAATCCTGACTATAATGTGCTGCTGGTTGATAAAACGGCATCAAAATTAATTTCCAAGAAGTCTGATAACTGATTAATTATTCATCCAGTTATTTATTGGGCAAATTCTGAGCTTGGTTCCCTTTGATTCGTTCTGTCAAGTCTCCTCTCTGCATAAAAGTTACGCTCAGACGTGAACATTTTGGAGCCACAAAGACCACAAAGGTATTTTTGACATTCTGTTAAACATCTTCCAGACCAATAATTACTCAAAAGTATTAAAAGATAAATAATTAGTACTTGCTGTTCTACATTTATTCAGCAAGAGAGGATGGCTATATTAGCACCTAGTCAGAAAAAAAAAGCATGATGACAACCATATGAAAGGGATGTAGGGTTGGTCACACTGTGTATCCATTATAATCTCTTCACTCAATGAACAAATAATGAATAATTGCTGACATATTACAAACAAAATGAGAGGGGCGGTTAAGAGAAGTGTTTATCAAACAACAGGTGGTTGAACGACAGCCAGAGCTGATAATCAGCTCTTTTCATTACGTGGCTTATTGACAAATGTATTCAACGTAGTGATTCACCATACAATTAACATGTCTTTGTGTAACCGTGTTTTTCCCGTCACTAAGTAAACAATAGGCACTGATGCACCTACAGGAGCTCTGAATGAGACGCAGCTCGTTGAAGTTACAGTGTGAATTTAGGCACTTTTGATGGGTTTCATACTGTTTTAGTAAGTTTTAGTGGCGAGGGGCAAAAGCGAGGCCCACTGGTAATTCATCGTTAACAATTATAACATTAGGGATTCATTATATAATCTGTTTTGGCAGAAATGTCACTGAGAGACTGCAGCTGATGTGTTGAATTTTAATAAACTCTGATGTTTGAATTCAAAAGTAAAAGTGCCCCTTTTACCTTTTCTGTTTTTCCAGAGGCTTCTTTATCTCCTTGTCCTTTGGCAGCGACATCCTTAACAACTGGCACTTCGTCATCGTCGCTGTCCACGATCTGACGCCGGCGTTTGGCGACCTTCTTGACGGGTGAATCTACTTCGCGAGCGCCGTTCTGCACCTTAAGAGGGCTCTTAACAGGCCTGGAGATGAGCACAGGCACACGGTTAAGAAGTCATGCAATGCAAAGGAATGAAGCCTTTTATTTATACGGCGCTGCTGAAAAGCACAGCCACGAGGTGCTATATTAGGTATTTAAAAAAGGATAAAGTCAATATCAAAAGCTATAAAAAAAAAAAGAAAACCTATAAAATCAAAGCAAGTGTCATTAAAAAAAAAAAGAGGTCAAAGCCATAATGAAGAAGATCATTACATAAAGCTGAGTCAATTAAAGCGAGTTTTAAGACACACTTTAAAGATTATGCAGTCAAAAGATAATGAACACTTTATCATCAAAGCAGCTCGGAGATGAGAAACAGAAGTTCTCATCTCTCTCCACACTGTCTTTTGATAATAACTGCTGGACACAAAAAGTTTCACTAAGCAACAGAGATTCAAAGATAACAGCCCGTCGGTGGGCTTTCTGCATTAAAAACTTGTTTGAAAATTAGCTGATGCACTGATATAGTTTACTGGTGCCCAACCAGGAGAACAAACGCCGGTATTTTAAGTATTTTAGACAAAAAAAAAAGATCCATTTTTGTCAATACGACTGCTTTATTAAGTGGTGTATTCCTTCAAAACAGTTCCTCAAACAGCCTAATATGTGTAAGTATAGATAAACGAATAACATAATTAATGAGTTCAGTGAGACGGGAGATCTGTATCAGAGGTTTTTTTTTAAACTTCAAAGTGCCAGCAGCAACAAATTCAATTCAATTTTCTCTTCATCTGCCAAAAAACTTTTGTAATTAAAGGATGGAGTTGTGCACTGGGACCGCAACTGGCAGCTATTCTTGTTATTGAATAATCTGTCAGTTGTTTTCTACTTTAATCAATTAGTTGTTTGGTCTCGAGAACGGTGAAAAATGTCATTCAGTGCTTCCCAAACCCCACGATGACATCTTCAAATGCTGTTTCATCCACAACCCAAAGCTGAGATTCAGTTTGCTGTCATATGGGACTAAAAAAAACAAACTATTCACATTTAAGAAGCTGCAATAAGATATTATTGCTTTTTTGCCTTAAAAAAAATAAAAAAATAAATAAAATTGATTACTGGATTATCAAAGTAGTTGGCGAATCATCATTGCAGCTCTGTTCTGCACATCTGTTCATCAGATGGATGCAGTAAACAGCTGCATGGAGCAATTTCCTCAAAATGTTGTGTGATGAGAAAGGAACATCTTACTTTTTCACGGGTTCATCTGTGCTTTTCTTCTGGATGTCCTTGTCTTTGCTCTTGGGCTGAAAGAAGGATCTGGAGGAGGAGGAGAAGCAGTTAAAAGCACTGGGTGGCCTGACGTGAGTGCCACCAGTGTATAAAAGGGCAATACAGTAACTAAAGCATCATACATTTATAACAACACAGCTAATTTGTAAGTGGCTTCATATCAAGATGCTGGTTGTGGGATGTAAACGAGCCTAATCACAACTCTTGCTAGCTTAGCAAGCCTCATGTAGCCTGTGTTGCTCTATTGTAGCCTCATAGGACTGATACGATCAGACAGCAGCTACAAAACGTTTCTGTCTCGTACCAAAACAAATTGTCTTAAAGTTTTAGGCTAGTTTTATCTCCCTGGACGTCTATTTAAACACATTTTAGCGTCCGCATTCACTAAAGCGAACTAAAGCGATTCAAAACAGACTCATTTAAGCTAATGCTAGCTAACAAGCTAACGCTAATGTTCAGCCACATTTTACACAAATAAGTCCGCTTCCAGGCACTTTTATCCCCTTAAACACAACTCAAAACCCAGTTACCGTGTAACAAGTCACCGCTAGACAGAAACAAACACAGGCAGGCCAACGTTACTTCCTCGCAGGTTAAACAGAAACTTTCTCCGGCTGCCGGTTGGTACTTACGCGATGCTCCGCTGCATGTTGTCTTCAAACTCGTCCCTCAAACTGCTACTAAATCGAGATGAACGGTTAAACTACAGCTCTGTTCCCAGATTCACAAACACAGAAACAGCAACTCCCGCGCTGCTACAGCTCAGAGGCAAAATAACTTAGAATATTCGGCGCCAAAAATGACATCTGAGCCGAAGATTGTCTATGAGAGAAGATGAGTCACTCGAATCGGAACCAGTCTGGAAACGGAGGCATTCGGATGTACGCATGCGCAGTACTGGACAGGTAGCAGAAATATGTCTCTGGATTAGTTCAACCTGCTCTGTGACACTCCATTATAACCAACCGTGTTTAATTTACTGCTTGACATTGCTTTAAAGGACCAGTTCAACTCATATAAAGCTTTATTTCACTCATGGGCGGTTGTGTTTTAAAGACTAACCCACCCAACAATCAAAAAATAGATCATTTGACTTTACTTTTTATAGAAAATCCATCTGTAAATCATATTAATTAGACTTACCAAACATCTGAAACAATACTACCGTGTTGCCTACAGTTATCCTAAATGTCAGGCCTCTTTACTTTTGCAATGCACTGCAAAAAACATATGGTTGCAATTATTGGTTGCAAAGTCTCACAAAGGCGCACTTTTGCTGTTTTACCTGTCCTGTGCCGTCCATTATATCCCAATCAATTTATTATTTTTTACTGCTTGAAATTGCTTTAAAGGAGCACTTTAACTCACATAGTGCAACTTTCCACTTGCCAAAAAGTGACAGAAATATTATTCTAACATCAAAATGATTTTTTTTTTCACCAAAAAGGGTTATATTTTAAACTGAGACAATCATAATTTCTTTACTTTATATATGAAACCCATTGGTAAACCATGTTAATTACAGTCTAAATAGGAATATTAGACATAGTAAACACATACAGACTCTACATCAGAAACAATACTATAGTACTTGCAGTAGTTATCCTAAAATGTCAGGTCTGATTACGCTATAAAACGCCAAAAAAGAAAGAAAGAAAGAAAATTGGTTGGTTATGCACATTTGCACATTACAACTGTTTGATGCAAATAAAAGCAGTTGTTATAATATTTAAACAGGGGAAGATAGCTTTAACACGAATTACTTTTTAGCAGATGATCTTTTTTTTATATGCTGATTTTGACAAGCCTAGTGGATCTTGATTAACTCGGTATATATATAAATTACAAGCTCAATATTTAAATATTTAAAAACTATGCATAAATTCTGCGAGATGTCAAGAAATGTATTGTGGTATTAAGAAATGAAATTGCATCAACAGTTTAAAAAAAAACATACACTGTGCTGTATTTTTTTTAATGGGATACAAAAATAGAAACATAAACATGAATCATTGAGATGTCAGAAAATATTTGAATTGAACAGCGGTGGTCCCCAAAAATGCAACCAGAGTGGCACCTCTGTTCATTCACTCCTCTCTGCTGTGACTCTTCTCTCCCGGGAAAAGTCTGTTGCGGGAAAGTTTGCGGGAAGTTCAAGGCGCCACTGCCCCCTGCCGCATCGGAGTGGAAACTGCAGCCACCGGCGTCTGGTCCTGATGCTGCAGAGATGACATGAAGGCCCCCTTTTTTCATGAAAATTTCACCATGTCTGTCTGGATGCATCATTTATGCTCGCAGCTCGTATTATTTTCATGAAGACCATGAAGCGGGAGGGCGAAATGCAAGACAAACAGCTGAATAATGGAGGCTGAGTGCACTGCTTTATTTACTCAAACACAAGTGCCATGTTGTTAATTGTTTACAAGTTCAATTCCCCCACTGTGGCGTGAAGAGACGACAGAACAAGAGCAGCTTCATCAATATTTCTATTCAAAGAAGAAAAAAACAAAACAACATGATCCGACTCAATAAATACAAAGTCTATGTATCTTACAGGCAGTGAATAATAAACTACTGTACAATAAGCTCAAAAGAAAAGCACAACAAGAGAGGAATCAGTCCATCTGTTGTAGTTCATTCCTCTTCTTGGCTGCCTCTCCTTGAGTTTCAGTCTGCTTCACTCCACTGAACAAGCCCTGACTGATGTGGAGGTTCAGATCCCACCCAGAGGGGCTCTTGTGAGGCCAGACGTTAGCGTTCAGGCCCGGTTCCCTCAGGCCGACCCCAGCAGCAGCAGCAGCAGCAGAAGCAGCAGCAGGGGTTGAGATGAAGGGGAAGGGGCCGTGGAGAGCCCGGGGCATCGGCATTGGTTTAGGGAGGCAGCATGGGAGTAAAAAGGGGTGAGGAGGAGGCTGGACCGCTGTCAGGAAGAAGAGTTTAAGTCACATCAGTCACAAAACATAAAGAAATGTCTGCTTAGATGTGCGCGTGGAGCTCAGAGACTTATTATTTCATCAATATTGCTGTGAAACGATTAATTAGCACGATCCAGAAGAACGTAACAACATGCAAATGTGGTCAAATAAACAGAAAAATGTCGAAATCTTAGCAGTTTGGTGACACAATTGAATTTATATTATTGTTTATATTATTGTCAGGTGTTTTCAGGTGAAATATTTCATTATAATGCTATAGTACTTAGAATTACTTCGGTATATTTGGCAACATTACTTCATACTGTACTGTTCTAGCGTTATTTTAGCTTACGCATCTTATTTCAATGTTGTGTTGTAGAAACTTCACACCTGTATATTATCACAGCTTTGAGTTTCCAGTGACTGTTGGAATTCTGAATTTTCAGATATGAAATCATTGAAAGAAAATGCTGTTTTCACATAAACAATCATACATTTTGGTTCTTTCATGTATTTATTCGCAATCTTCTGGAAGTGTGACCAAATCTGCCGGGTCAAAAATATACGTACACCAACTTCAGTTATCAGCGATGGTGATGTAGAAAACTGTGTTAATTAAATTCCCTTAGTGGCCTCATAACATCTCATTGACTACAGGTGCTGACTCCTCTGAACCAATTTAAACAGGCCCACTTGATGCACTCATTGGACTCAGCCACAAACAGCGCATGAGGAGTACAGATCTGAAGAAGGAAATCACTGATTTGACCATGTCAGCTTTGCCAAAATGTATCTGTGCAAACAGCTGTTTTAAAAATATAAAGAGCATGGTACAGTTGTGTCACCGCCACGGTCAGGAAGAAAACCCAAGAGACAGTTGGTCAGGATGGTAAAGAGTCAACCAAGAATCACCAAAAAGCAGGTCTTCAATGAATTAGAAGCTGCTGGAACATCAGTGTCCACAGTCAAGTGGGTTTTACATCAATGGACGAAGAGACTCGACTGAAGTTGCTGCTGCCCAGTTAGACAAACAAAAGGAATTCTGGAAGAAAGTTCTGATGAAACAAAAATTTAGCTGTTTGGCTGCAATAACAACAAATATGTTTGGAGGAGAGAAGGTGAGGCCTTTAACCCCAAGAACACCAAACCCACCATCAAGCATGGTGGTGGCAGTATTATGCTCAGGGGCTGTTCTGGTGCCAGTGGAACCGGTGCTTTACGTAAAGTAAACAGAATAACTAAGAAGGAAGATGAGCTCCACATTCTTCAGGAAAACCTAAATTCATCATCCAGAAAGTTGGGTCCTGAACACCATGATGTGTGTTTCAACAAGACAATGAGCCAAAATACACATCAAAAGTGGGAAAGAAATGGTTAAATCAGGCTAGAATTAAGGTTTTAGAACATAAAAGAAACAAAATGCATGATTGTTTTCTTCGACAAAGATCCATGGATTTCAATGATTCCATCGAAAACTCAAGACTTCCATGATATATCTGGTCTTCACATGAGTTTGGAAACTTTTGTTCAGGACTCTATATCTTTTTACCTTTATACTTATTAGGGACTGTCAATTTGCTTTTTCCGAACAATATCTGGCACAAGATTTTCCTTTAGAATTAATAAAGTTTTATTATATGGTATATAATTTTATCTTAATTCGAGGCTTCTCTGCAGCTTTAAACTGCCTCACAGGAAGACGAGATGCTCGAAAGCTTCAGAAAAAGCTACTAAGTGACACTGAATAAAGATGTTAGTGTTAAAATTAATTATATCGCTTTATAAAATTCAAAACAGCCGAACTATCCAGCTAAATAATGAGGAATTCAACCCATAAACCTGAAGCAACTCAATTTTTAAGATGCATAGTACATTTTTAACATTTACTCTCTTTCCCTGAGACGTGCTCGTCTGTGCTGCTTGAATTTATTCTCTCTGAAAATACAGTCTTCAAGGTCAAGATTGAACTCCGTCCTTGTGTTATTTCCCATCACAGTCAGTCTTTATTCACCTTGAAATACATTAAATTATAGAAGAAGGACGCCATCAAAATGCTGTTTCCTTGTAACTTGAACTAAAACGAGCTTTAGTGAACCGGCCTTGAAGAGTGAGTAATGTGATGTCAACATGTGTGAATATGAGGAAAATGGAAAAGTGATTGTTTTTAGTGTTTCCCCTTCGTCTTAAAGTGAAACGCATTCTGATATCAGTCCAGCAAACACTACAATCACTGCTTTTATTGATTACACAGTCAAGTGGCGAATTCTCAATAAATCCCCTAAACAGTGGAACCTCTAATGCAGGAGAGCTTCTGATTCCTCTGCAGCGCTGAGCTCCGTTTTAATCACAAAACCACTGAGGACACATCATTGAACCACATGACATGTTCCCTCTTCACTGTGAACTGAAAACACAATGTCCTGCTGCAACAAACTGTTATTAATCCAATAATACGGCTACAAATAATCCCCAATTACTTTGCTATTTACTCCTGTTTAAAAGAGCTACACTGTAAAAACAAATCTGGAAAAATGCTCAAAAACTGTAAAAAAAAAAAAAAAAAAGAAATATGACAAATGTTTATAAAATAATGATATCGCTGATTAAAATACAGTAAAATAAAAGGCAGTAAAGTGCAGTAAGGCAGTGTTATTTTATGATCACACTTTGCAAATTAAAAAAATACGATTTCTTAGATGTTGTGGACTTTATTTAGGGTTTTTCCTTTGTTTTTTCTTTGTTTTTTTTCTCTTTTTTTCCTTTACTCGTTATCATGTATAATTTAACAAAGAAAATCTGAAAACAAAAAGGTTGAAGTGTTCAGTCCTTAATATCAATATCTTTACTTTTCCAAGAAAACAGCAACTATCTGTAAAATATGACTGTTTCACTGATTTAAATACAGTCAAAATAGTGAAACAGTCACACAGGAAAAAACTAATAATTCAACTCTTACTGCTATTATTGCTTTTATTACTTTGAATACTATTAATATTTTGAGAAAAAATTAAAAATAAAAAAATTGGACAATATCTGTCAAACATGACATTTGTAGCTGATTTAAATTAAATAAAATAAATACTGTGCTGTTTTGGGGGTTTTTTTGGTCAAATGTTCCTAATGAACAAATTACCATTTCAAAAACTACAGATTTTTTTTTTAATGTGGATATTATTTACAGTTTTGGAGGATTGCTTTATCTGTAATTTAACAAAATGGGAAAAAGCTTCAAAATAACATTGTAACAAAATTTTTACTAAGATTTTACTAATAATACTAATAATACTATTGTATGTCCTAAAGAAAACAAGGAAATACTGTAACATACCAGTTTACCGTAAAAGTAATCTTTAATTCTAATGTTTTTTTCTTTTAAATAAGATTAATTATGTGTAAATTTACAGTCAATTGCTGTAGAAAAATAAATTGCAATTTTTAAAAATACAGATTGTATTTACAGTTTTGCCTGTTTTGCTTTTTTCACAGTTAACATATATATTTGTACTTTTTTACTGTGCTTTATAGAAAATTGTTCAACAATTGGACTGCAGGGGCTTCCCCAGCAGGATTCTGCACCACACTGCAGAAAATGCTCAGCAGTGGCTCGAGGAACACAACCAAGAGCCAAAGACAGGTCAGAGATGTTTAGGTGGCATCTCAACAATAATCAGCAGGTAGTTTTAATGATGTGGCTGATTGGTGTTTGTAGTAAATCTTACAAAAATAGCTGGAATGTAGGAGTTAAAAGTGTCATTTAAACTGCATTTTGAACATTAAATTCACCCCTTTGCCTCCTGCAACAAGCCCACAGTGAGTCCTAACAGCTGCAGATGCTTCAGTAAAGGAGAGTTTTCTTACCTCTGTCCACCACCGAGCCTGAACCTCCACACAGAGGACGGCTGCTCTCAGCGGGGAGGAGGGGGAAGGAAAGATGGCCGCCCTGGACCAGCTGGACGGATGGAAGATGAGATGGAAGGATGGTTGAAATGGAAATCTTTGACTACAGCACTGTGTGCACAAAACACCGAGAACACCGGGAGGAGTTTGGGATTTTTATTTTCAACACATGAAGTTAAAAAGCACTTCAGATGATGAAGACATTAAAAAATAGCTGGAAGGTGTTCCCGATATTTTTGCTCACATATCTTTAAAAACTTAATTAGAATTTATGATATTAAGAGTTGAATTCCAAACTAGGATTCCCTTTTTTTTTGTGCAAAAAGTAAATTTTTTAATGGACTGTGCTCCTACAGTGCTTTTCTACCTTTAACAGACAAAGAGCCTCCCGACTAATCCGTCCTCTTACAGAATTTATCATATAATTAAACAAAGTCTGGTGCCTTTATAAAGCATTAGGAGGTAACCCGAGCCCTCGCTTCAACACACCGACTCCCCTCCACTTTAGAGGATCAGTCAGTCGGTTGGTTTTTATATTAAATGATAAAGTTTCCGTAATGATTTTTTTTATTCAAGTCAGCCAAACTCATATTAAATGATAAAGTGGAGCTAATTGTTTCTATTGGAGCCGGTTCATTTTTGAAATATTAAAGGATACAGTTGAGGTAATTATTTTCTCCCAGTGTTGTGGAATAAAACTCTTATTAAAGGACTTAACTCGTGTTTTGGGAAACTGGTAGAATTGCAGTTTACATGCTGAGTTAATGTTTTGTTTTTGTAGTTTTATGTAAACCGTAATGCAAACATGGAGCCAGTTTTCCACACGGTGAAGCCCTTTAAGCTGCAATGAAGACATGGTGGTGACCTGATGTGATGGAGGTGGAGGTGGAGGTGGAGGGTAGCCGGGATAGTTGACCAGGATGAGTTTGCTGAAGTTGAACTTGTAGGTGAATCTTTTCCCTTTGGTCTTGTGCAGGATGCGTTTGTTGTAGTAGTATCTGGAAGTAAAATGTTTTCCTTGTCAGACGGGCTATATGCTGCACTCGTGTTCCCGTACGCCACTTTTACATATTCCCAGATGGCATGTGTTGCATCTGCAGGGCGTTTTAGATTTTAAACTTTAATTTGACAACATATGCCGGCGAGGAGAACATCTTATTTACAGCTGGAGGGAGAAGCTGCACATTCACAGCTGACATATGAAGCTGAACTCCTGCATTTTGCATTACCTGAGCGCCCGACTGAGTTTGTCGTAGTTCATGTGCGGTTTGCCCTTCCTCTCCCCCCACAGCCTGGCCAGCCTCTCGGGGTCCCGGATGACGAACTCGCCCCACTCCCCGCCCCAGCCGATGGCGCCGCCCTCGCCTCGGCCCAGCAGCTCCAGCAGGAAGTGCCAGAGCTGGACCTGCCTGGATCCGGGCGACCAGGCCGGTTTGTAGGCCCAGTCAGGAAACAGCACTGCTGGAGGAAACAGAAAGAGGCTGTTAGTCACCAACGCAGCTAAGTGCAGGTTCATATTATTTAGCAAACTCCACCTCCTGGAGAAACACCACTCACTTGTCCATCACGAAGCAGCGAGCAGGCAGCATATCTGAGCATTAAATTATATCACCTGTACGTCCTACTTAACAGGTTTATTCACTTGAAATGGTTTTGACATTTTGGGAAATGGGTGGATTTGCTATCTTGATGAGATTGAAGGGAGGAGGTTGACACCATTATTATGTTTATACATTTAATAAAATCAAGTCTTTATACATCCTTATCCTTGTCGTCCTTATCCATCCATCCATCATCTATACACCGCTTAATCCTCACTGGGGTCATGGGGGGCTGGAGTCTATCCCAGCTGACTCAGGGTGAAGGCAGGTTCACCTGGACAGGTCACCAGTCTATCACAGGGCTACACTTTGAGACAGACAACCAAGCACACTCACATTCACACCTACGGACAATTTACAATCACCAATTAACCTCAACATGTTTTTGGACTGTGTGGGAGGAAGTCGGAGAACCCAGAGAGAACCCACGGGGAGAACATGCAAACTCTACGCAGAAAGATCCCGGTGCCCCCAACGGGACGCGAACCGGCGACCTTCTTGCTGCGAGGCAACAGTGCTAACCACCGAGCCACCTTGCAGCCCACTGTAAAAAATAATTAAATAACAACAACAACAAATTCTGTTATATGGTGAAAATCTGGCACCAAAAAAAAAGTTGAATTATAATTTTCAAAAACTGTTAAAGGATAGAAAATAACAGCAAATATCAGTAAAATAATGACATTTTTATATGATTTGGTCACAGTAGAACAGTGTGACTTTATGGTCACACACCGTAAAAGCAGATTTGTGAAAAACATATTGTTCGTAAAAATACAGATTTTTGCTGTGAACATTATCAATAATTTGGATTCATTTTTAAGATAATCAACACGTAAACTTCCCCCTGTGATTTTACTTGTTCTTACCTCTTCTTACAGGAAAAATATGTGAAATAACAATTTTTAAACCTTTTTCTCATCTTTAAAATACCGTCTTTTTTTCTTTTTTTTGCTCTCAAATAATGGCGAATATCTCTCTGTATGTGTGTGTGTGTGTGTGTATGAGTGTGTGAGCGTGGAGTGTGTGTGTGTGTGTATAACATGTCCTACGTGTGTGTCTTTGCACATTTCTTCCACCTGTGTTCCTTCAACACCTGTCTTCCCTAAATCCCCATGAACACCTGTCCCCTCTGTGTCCTTGTGAACACCTGTCCTCTCTGTGTCCCAGTAGACACCTGTCCGCCCAGAGTCCCTGTAAACACCTATCCTACCTGTGTCCCTCTAAAAATCTTTTCGTCCTGGGTCCCGTAAACACCTGTCCCCTTTCTGTCCTTTTGTAACACCTGCACTCCTTGTGTCCCTGTAGACACCCGTCCCTTAGGTGTCCCTTTAAACATCTGTCCTACCTGCGTCCGTATAAACACCTGTCCTCTCTGTGTCCCTGTAAACACAGCAAAATAAGAATAATAATTTTTTTAAAAAGCTAACTCCTTAAAATTTACCTATTTTTTCTGGAAATGAACAACCTGAAAGAATTTTGTTTGTTTGGCTCTTTGGGTGAAAACGCGAGCAGCACAAAGTGATTCAACCACGATGAGCCTCTACTGAAGACAGAAAAGGTGAGAAGCTATTGATTTATTGTTGCAAAGCAAGGAGCTAGTATTACTGTAGTATGCTGGTATCTTTAAATGGTTTCCACTGAATCAGGAGGCTTTGTGCTTTTTAAACAGTGTATAACATGTTGGATTTGATTCAGAACTGGTCAAAGTCCTGTACAGATAAAAGAATGATTCTTTCAGCTAACTCTCAACAAGAATTAAAAATGTATGTTTTCTAAAATATTGAGCACCTTTGGTGGTATTTCAGACCATGTACGTCAAGTTACCCAAATGTTCTCTTCTTATGAAACCTGTTTTATATCAAACATCTTCTATTCAACTGATTTTAATTTGACTTATATTAGGGAAGTGATGGGCTGCAAGGTGGCGTCATTGGTCACACTGTTGCCTCGCAGCAAGAAGTTTGCGTCCCGTTGGGGGCACCGGGATCTTTCTGTGTGGAGTTTGCATGTTCTCCCCGTGCAGCGTGGGTTCTCTCCGGGTTCTCCAGCTTCCTCCCACACAGTCCAAAAACATCCATCATCCATTATCTATACACCACTTAATCCTCACTAGGGTCATGGGGGGCTGGAGTCTATCCCAGCTGACTCAGGGTGAAGGCAGGTTCACCTGGACAGGTAACCAGTCTATCACAGGGCTACACTTAGAGACAGACAACCAAGCACACTCACATTCACACCTACGGACAATTTACAATCACCAATTAACCTCAGCATGTTTCTGGACTGTGGGAGGAAGCCGGAGAACCTGGAGAGAACCCACGCTGCACGGGGAGAACATGGAGACTCCACGCAGAGAGATCCCGGTGCCCCCACCGGGACGCGAACCGGCGATCTTCTTGCTGTGAGGCAACAGTGCTAACCACTGAGCCACCCTGCAGCCCGTCCAAAAACATGTTGAGGTTAATTGGTGATTCTAAATTGTCCGTAGGTGTGAATGTGAGTGTGCTTGGTTGTCTGTCTCTAAGTGTAGCCCTGTGATAGACTGGTTACCTGTCCAGGTGAACCTGCCTTCACCCTGAGTCAGCTGGGATAGACTCCAGCCCCCCATGACCCCAGTGAGGATTAAGCGGTGTATAGATAATGGATGGATGGATGGATGGATGGATGGATAGGGAAGTGATGCTTGTCACTTCTTGTCAGTGCTTTTTTTTTTTCCTTTGTAGTAGCAAACCCGTGTCAAAGCTTGTGTTGACATACAGAGATTGACTTCCTCCAACAAAATCTCCCCTGAATTGACATGAAGCACGTCTCCATCAGAGTAAACCGAACATCCTTAAAGTTTACTGTGAGGAAGACATGTTTTCTGTTGGAGCAATCGTTGCTGCACCTTATTAAAGAAGCCGGTGATAAAACCGTGTGCTGCGATTCTCAACACATCAGATTCTGCAGGATTATTGGTTGCAAAGGTTTCTCACAGCTCACCAGCTCTCTGTAGGTTCTTTATTGAAAACTGATTGTAAAACAGCAGATATTGCTTCTTTAGGTTCGCTGATCAGACAATCCTGGATTTTTATTTTTTTTAAATTGTGCTTTTTGCACTTAGCTTGAATTATATAAAAAAATCATCTCTGTAATCTGTCAATGAGTAAACAAACTAATTGCATAGATTAAGCACCAAGACAAGGAAAAACATTTTGTAATAGCAGCATTACAAGAAATCTGTGAAGATTCTCAGTCATCCAGGCCATGGTGCTCGAATCAGCCACAACAATTAAACCACTGGCAGGTGAAGTGAATGTCGTTGACTGAACTCTTTAGGATGTCCTGCTGGGAAACTGTCCTGGAGCTTCTGCAAAGCATCGTTATCAAACACTGCAAAAATTGCCCAGAAACAGCCAAGGGACACAACAAAGGTGTTGACTTGGCCTCCAAACCACCCAGTCTGATTAAGCATCTATTGGGGGCCAGAACAACCCCAATCCAGCCCAAAAACCAGAGGAGCTAAAGGATCCACTGCCATTATCTTGGTATGAGAACCACAGGACAGCTCCAGGATGTTCAGAGATGTTTGCACAGTACCAGTTATGCAGCTGATTTAATGTTGTGGCTGATCAGTGCACATCTGAGTGCTAAAATTGAGACCACTGAGCTTGCTTGACCTTCTCAAAGGTGTTCTATCGTCAATCTAAAAGGCTTCTCCAGTAGACTTGCTCAAGGACTCACATGTGGCCTCAATGACCCCAGGAGAGTTTAAGGACCACCTTTGGTGAATTTCAAGTGTTTTTTTTCCCCCCATGCTTAAGGTGTTTTTGTAGATACTGGAAGACATATTATGAGTGAAATAAGCTGTGAACATGTAAATTAATACTTTTTTCACTGACTTTACTGGTTATTATGTGTAATTTCACAAAACAGGGAAAATCCATAAAATAACATAAAAAGAAATTAATTTGTTTTTCAATTCCAAATATGCAAAAAAAATTAATTCCAAAAACAACAAACATCCTTAAAATAGTGATTGTCTTTCTGATTTAAAAAAAAAAGTATAAATAGCCTAATTTCATAGTTAAATGTTGCAAAAGAACAAATTACAGTTTGTAAAAACAGTTTTGTCATGAGGAGATGATGTAGTTTTGGTCTGTCAACAAATAAGTTATTACTTTTTCAAGGATTTCATGAATTATTGTCTTTATTTTCACAAACTATGAAAAAAAAATGTAGTTCTGAAAATACGTACGTTTCCTTTTCAAGCAACTCACAATATCTGTGTACAGTATATAAAATAATGTGGTTTTTCTCATGATTTAAATACAGCAACATCTGTGTAATTTTACTTAACACACACTGTAAAAGAGCTACCACTTGTAGAAACAAGTGTTTTGTTTTTTTCTTTAGAGTCAACATGTAAGTTTATACTTTTTTCTGTTTATTTACTAGATGCTATCTGTAATTTCACAAAACAGGAAACATAGCAGCAAAGTTGCAGGTAAAAGCTGTTGATTTTTAACAGTGCAGGGGCAGGTTACTGTCATTCTAAGGCAGGAAAAGATAATTACAAAATATTTGACTGTGAGCCACAGAGATGGGTTTTAAACCAACGATTGTAGACATGAAATGTCTTCAAAAAACTTCAGCAAGTCATCTTGTTTCTGTTTTTGCACTCAGATAAAAATGATCAGAAATAAAAATTCCCTCATGTGCCTGAAATACCTTGAACGTAGATTAATAAAAAACAAAGACTAATTATTGCAATAAAACTAACAGAGATGCAAAGATCACAGGCAAAACTTACATTACAGGTTGCTGATTGGTGAAGAAGGCCTCAAAACTGCATCATTTGTTTGTGACCTTTATTGTTGCTTTGCTTTTCACGATTTTATCTATTTTTATCAAAAAGCTCTGCAGAGAATGAATGCATAATAACTCTTACATAAATATGAATGCTCTCCCACACAAATACCACCCCACACACATGTAAATAAGAGAGATAAATACTCACACACACACACAAACATCAACACAAACAGACACACACAGTCTTACTTCTGCTCCAATAAGGTGATGAAAGGTGTCCGACTGCAGAGCTGCAGCTGCACTGCATCTGCCACGGAACACAAACACATCAAACTATTCAGCGTCTTCATCACTCATTCAAGTCAGAGAGGCAGGAAAAGAGAGGATAACAATATAACTCTGGCTGTAAAAATAAATATTAATTATCTGTCATGCGGGGTTTAAAATAGCGACAAAGCGCAGATTGCAGCAACTTCTGCTCTCGACGCCACTTAGGAGATTAAATCATCTTCACACGTTTTAATTTAAATCTGAACCCAGGAGCAAATCCAATCTGCAGACTGTTTATTACATCAATATCAATATAATTAGAAATGAATAAAAAAGGGTTTATCTATTGTGATTAGACCAAATCAGACATTTAAAGTGACTTCAATGTGTGAAAGCATCGTTCTCCCCCTGCAGAGACTGTTTGGTTTTTTTTTTGCTGTATTGTTCTATAATTTCATCCCATAAACACGCACTTCGTCCGCCCACAGACGCAACGACCTTCTCGGGGTGATTTTCAGCAACACGGACGCCCACCATCTTCCCTGGAAGGCTGAAAACTCATCTCTTCAAGAAAGTGCTTCTTCACATCAGCCTTTTCCCTCCTCTGAATGATGTCTCCTCTCCTATAAGCCCTCTCCCACAAGCTGTAATATCCTCTTATCTTGGAGCAACAAAAAAAAAAAAAAAAAGAAAAAGCGGATGTCTGCCCTTATAGCTCCTATTTTATTTCCTCTTCTTCCTCGTGCAGCTCTGCAGGGTCACGGGGACATTATCAGGTAACCAGGAGAGCTGAGCCACTTTAGACACACACAAAAAGTCCAAACTGAAACTCGATCACAGACAAACAAATGGTGCAATTTAGTTTAGTTGCCTCTGACATTTATTCTCCTTTTTCTTTTTTTCTTTTTGCAGTTAACTGCAAATTAAAACTTGTTTTACTGCATAAGAGCATCAGCTAAGTGGCTAAACATGCAGCTCTAGTCCCAGCGTTAATCACAATTAAACAAATCAGAAATAATACGTTGAAATCATCAGCACAAAATGTCAAACAGAGTTTTTTTTTGTTTTTTTTTTAAAGTAGATGATTTTCAGGTCTTAATTAAGTCACTTCATTTGCAGAGCTAATGAGAGACTCCTGTGTAAAATGCTGTAATAATTCAATTGACCCTGTTACCTTGATTGGAGCAGCGGTGGAAAAGCCTTTTGCGGTGATCAGTTCGTCTGCCGGCCCACTTTAAGTCTGGGACGACTGAAGGATGGATGGACCGAATCTTAAACCCTCGATCCCATCTCACCCCCCGACCACACTCTCACTCCCACCTCCCCCTTTTCTCTCCAACAACACTGCTGCCTCCCTCCCTCACCCCAGCCCAGAATTAGGAAGAGCAGGTCAAAAGATCTGACAGCGATTTTCTGAATCTATGAAGATTTGCACGACATTTTTAAATTCCTTGTTTTGAAAAGCACCAAATTCTCACAGCTTTAACATTACAGAGCATTTTGCAGATTGTCTCAGTCATCCAGATCATGGTAATCCTCGGAGGTTCTCCTTGTTTTTGGTAATTGTACCAACACACTCTGCTTTTTCTTGCATCTTAACTTGGTTCTTGCACCAGCAGGATTTTGCACAATTTCTTTTGTGTTACTTGAATGATCAACGATACCAACCCTAAATGTTTCATGTAAGTCAATAGAATTGAGCAAAAAGCAACTTTAAATGTGATCATGTACTGCTGCTCTTTGCTTTATATCATTCTAGTTTTAATATTTGGGGGTTAAAATGATGTTTTTGCTTGAGGCAATTTGTTAGACTGAACAATAATTGAAAAAGTAACAGTTTGACCAATTGAGAGTCTTTAGTTGGGTTCAAACCTGCTGCTGAGGTCAACAGCTGCTACGTATTTCCCAGAGTAAAAAAAAAACAAACAGCAAAAATAAGCTGAGATGACCGTGTGTGAAGGGTGAGAGCTGCAAAGAAGCACAAAAAAAAAAAATAAGCCACAAGGAAATAGATGACAGCACTTTTCCTCCACATCAGGATCTGGAGCATATTAGAGTGAGCTCAGGGAGAAGATATGATTGAGCTGAGTGAAGGTGACGGCGGGTTTCCTCTTGGCTGAATCAAGCAGGTGATGAACTCAATATAGAGGAGCCTCTCTTTTACTCCACTACAGCTGCTTTTCACCTGACAGCGGTGACTTTGGCCAAGGTCAACAGGCTGTTCAATACTGCGCCACGCGGGCTCGGGAGGCCGGTCGAGGTGGAGTTGGCGGTGACACGATTCTGCTCGAGCTTAATGTCCTGCAAGTGGTCCCTCAAGTACTGCAGCCTCCGGCACTCGTCTCACTTTGGTGAATGTGAGGGTGAATTACCAGAGTCTGGAGCGCTGGAACAACATGACAGGACTGAGAAATAGAACTAAATTCTA